TCTCTGTTATTTTCTAGCAGTCGTCTCGTTTTAGATGTGTCAGGTCTTGTCTCCGCCGTGTATGTTAATATAGGTCTAATTGCTGCTTTATAGATTCCTGTTTTTGTGTCTTGTCTTAGGTGTTTGTTCTTCCAGATTGGGGCATTAAGAGAACCTGCCGCTTTACTTGCTTTTAGGCTTTGTTGTCGTACTTCTTCTTCAACATCTCCGTAACTAGTTATATTTATTCCCAGATATCTAAACCTTACTTCGGGCTTTATTATTTTCCCATCAATTTCGATTTTACACCGTAGTGGGTATTTTTTTTATTGGCTTAGGCTTGAAACCTTTAGCCACGTAATTACATATAAATATTAATATTCATTCATACAGGATTGTACAAGAAGGACACTTTTCATCACAAGGATCATAATTATTTTAAAGATTTTTATATTGTCTTCACTTAATAGGAGATTTACGTTTCATGGTGTACTTAAACCCTCTTTTATCAATTCTTTTATCAGCACGTGCTTGTAATTACGATGTAATGGGCAGTTGAAGAATATGTGATTTAAATCAGCTAGACTAGTTCCATACTCACTATCGGTCGGTTGGGAGAACTCCTATTTTGTGTAGATGTTCGGAATTAGTGGGTATTTAGATGTTGTCATACATTTGGTTTTTTCTGCTGATATTATCATATTGTATTTCTTAGCTTTTGTGTATTCAAGATATGTGTTAATTTTTGGAGCTCGTCTTCTGTCTCGGCGATTAATGCGGCGTCGTCTGCATAACATAAATATTTGATTTCTTTGTTTCCCATTCTGTAGCCATTAGCCTTTACGTACTGCTTGTATTATTTCGTCCATTATTAAATTAAAGAGAAGTGGGCTCAACGAGTCACCCTGTCTGACTCGCTTTGTACTGGTATACACTGTGTTACTTTTTCATTTATCTTTGCCTATATTTGATTATGGAGGTAGATGTTTTCGATGGTTTGTATAATATTGATTTGTATGTTTCTTTTATACAGTACGTGTAAAAAGTCTTCGACTTGGATGCGATCGAAAGCCTTTGTCAGGTCTATAAAACATAGATATGCTGGTGTATTGTATTCGATGGCCTTTTCTGTGATTTGTTTTAGTACAAATACGGCATCTACGCGCGCATCTTTCGCATCTGAATCCTTGTTGTTCATCTGTTTAAAGTTGTTAGTTTATTGATTTTATTGGTTATTACTTTTGGGTAAGCTTAAGTGCGGGTTCAGTAGATTTATACCTTTATAATTGTTGGGTTCTTTTTATCTCCTTTCTTGAATATTGGTATCAATTATGCTGTTTCTCCATGCGTCTAGTATCTTGCAGTGCAATATTAGTTTTTTGTATAAGTTTTGTCATCTCTAGGGTTATACTTTCTCCTCCGTATTTTAGAAGCTCGTTGGTTATTTCGTCTGGTCCTGGTGACTTTCTATTTTTAAGCGAATTTATGACTATTTCTACTTCCTGAAAACTGATTTCTATTTCGTGATCTTAATTCAGGTACGTTACTGTGTTGATTATTATTTTCCTTCGCTTTAAACTGTTCCGTCAGGTATCTTTTGACTGTGCGTTTTCCTAAGCTTTCTGTTGCTGCTTCTTCAACGTTGTTTTTAATTTTTTCCAGCTCGCTTTTATATCTTCGATGTCATCTATTTGTTTCAGCTGTATCTTCTGTGCTAGCCTCCTTTGGTACATTTCTCTCGTCGTTCCACAGGTGATTCTACATTGAATTTTTCCTCGGTGATTTCCTGTAGAAGATTTTGTTTTGTTGTTATTTTCATTCTTATCTTTGTTAGTACTAGTTTGTGTTCACTACCTTAGTCTGCTGAGTTTAAAGTTCGAATATCTAGAATTTGCTTTGGGTGAATTTTTCTATTGGTGACTATAAAATCAATCATAGATTTATGCCCCCTGGAGTTTTCAAATGTATATTTATACTGAAGCTTATGGTCGAAAAATGTATTATTGATTCTGAGTTCGTTAAAATTACAGAGATTAGCCATGAATTCTCCATTTGCGTTGACATGGTTTTCATTAAATCTTTGTTTTACTTCTGGAACTATTTCATTTCCGATTCGTGCAATAAAGTCACCCATAAGAATTAAGGGCTCTTCATGAGGTGCTCATCTCTTAGGTTTGCAGTCCTTAGGGCTTTAGATAGATATTACATTTAATTTTTGGTATGTCCATTGTGTTTCATATGTATTATTCTTTCGGAGATATAACGGCAGTATTTATGTTGTCTTTAAATTTTTTATGGACAAGTATATCTACGCCTGCTCGTGCTCGTTCTTCTTTCTTCACTTCACTGTATCGCTAGGAAATATTGGTTATATTCTCTTTGGCCTTACCTTTCTTCTTGGTTTCTTGGATTGCACAAATGTCCATGATTTTATTATCAGTTCTTCTATTTTCTCTTGGTCTTTGTTGTTGAAAAAAGTAATGTTCCATGTTGCTAATCTAATTGTTGGCTTATTTTTCCTTCTTGTTTTCCTTTTCTTTGCGTGGTTCGTCATCTTCGGTTTCGTCTGGTTCGAGGCTGTATATCGGTTCTTTGAGCCTTGTTTAATTTTATAATGGGTAGGATGCTAACCTAGCCGATCAATTCTTCTCTTTTATCCGGGCCTGGGACCAGCTGTGGGCATGAACGCGACTTCTGAGCTATATAGTTTACTTATCTTGAAACAATAGTAAACGAAGAATGGTATCACTCACAAGAAGTAAAATGTAGAACGGAGAAGGCTAGGAGTGCATTCAATAACACGCCCCAAACTCTTTTAAAGCTACACCTTAATCTGGAGATAAAAGTAAGGCTCCTACTATGTTATATCTTCTTGATATTATACTACGGAGTTAAATCATGGACACTCACTGAAGCGATGGAGAAAAACTTGAAGTCTTCGAGATGTGGCTATACAGAAAAATCCTAAGGATATCATGGACAGACATGATAACCAACGAGACTGTACTACGAACAATGAGGAAAGAAAGAGAAGTGATGTAATACGATTACAAGGAAACAGTTAGAATATCGTCGACACATAATGAGAAACTGCACTAAATACAGATTACTGAAAATAATCCTTCAAGGCAAAGTATTTGGAAAGCGAGGAATTAGGAAAAGAAAAATATCATCGTTAAATAACTTAAAGAAATGGTTTTTCACAACAACAACTAATCTGATTTAAAGCATCAGTTAATAAAATAATTATAGCCAGAATGATCGCCAATATTCGAAACGAATAGGTACCAAAAGAAGAAGAAGAATAAAAAAAAACCTGTTTGGTACAAAGGTTTTATAACTAAATGCTGGAGATAAACATGTCTCGCCTGAACTAAGTAGAAAAATGTAATACAGATTGTTTGTAGTTATAAGAAACAAAATAAAGAACCAAGTAAGACTAAGTTATATTTTTTTTCTCAAAATTATTAACCTATTAAAGTTAAATTTGTAGTGGACCATAGGTTTCAGGTTTAATTCACCTTTTAAATGTAACTAATTTGTAGTGGACCATAAGCCAAAATGGCAAACTAAATTAAACACAATTTAAAACAAAGTGTACATGTTCTGTTCAAATATTTAATTAGCATGAATTTTCATCAATTAACAACCAATTTCAGAGATAATTTTGAAATTGAACTGAAAATGGAATAGATCATATACATATTAAATAGAAAACTTTGCACACCTCGTAAATAATTTGCGAATTTCAAAGTTCCCAAAGGAAACTCATCTCCTAATTGTGATCAATTGGCTTTTATCATCATTCAATGCGCGTACGCCTCAATCTCGGTTTGATTGGAAATTGATAATTGATTAGGCAAATATTATGACAGATAATCATCCACGAAAATTTATTGAGCTTTCAAGTTGCGTCTCTAAATGATTGAAACGCCTTTTGACGAGTTGTAATTAATTAAACAGCGAGTTTAGAAGAAAATAACAAGTACAAGTATGAAATGTCTGACGAATATTGATCAATGATAGAAAGAAATGTAATAGATTATTCGGAAAAAGTGACGAGTGGATTTTATGTATTCTAAGAATAGGGAAAACAAAAAACACAAAAAAACATATACACGGAGTGTGTGAGAGCGTTATACACTTGGGAATGCACACTCCATATTAAGGTATTAGCATAGATAGACTTAGTTTTAAAAAAACAAAAATCGCTCACTGTCTAATTAATGTCATGTCATCTTCAAGATAAACAAGAACACCCGTTACATCACAAAAATTTACATAACACAAATAAGAATGTATAAAAGGCCCGTCAGGCACTCTATACCAGCCAGCAGGCACAGGCCCTTCAGGCAGATCAAATATTGATCAAACGCAAACTCTGAGCATCGAGGTCATGTGCGGCAAGCATGGGCTCGGTGGCCAGGACTCACTTCTCGAACACCCAGCCGGCGAGGAGAACAAAATTTTTATTTGTCAAATCGGCGACTGAGTGAACGAGCACACACATTCCTTTCCAGACAGAGAGCTGTCGGTCTAGACCGATGGCTCTCTGTCTGGAACACACGCTCTTTTTTAGGGACATGAGTCCCGAAGTAAAGCTAGAGTAACTTCTATAGAGTCAGTAAAGTTAAATAGGGAGAAAAGCCGACATGTGTGCTACCCCTACAGTTAGGTGGCCTAACCACAGTCATTAAAAACAGAAGGTGTCTCATTACCCAAGACACCTTACGTAACAGTCAGATCATAAGCCTCCTCACGTAAGTCACACGCTGAGGAGGGGTGTAGGAAAAGCCTGGGGGTCAGATAGGTACCACCTCAACTACTGAGGTGTAACCGGTTTGATTTTCGGACATGTGGATCCCACTCCTACAGTGGTATACACATGTCCCTAGGGGTAGGGTTGATCGCCTCGCGTGATTGTGTGTGTGTGTTTATTTTTCAATAGAAATATTTTTTGATGTTACCTGTTAGTTTACCTGTTACCGCTTAAACGGATAACAAATAAAATACCTACTTACTCATACATACGTATTTTTTAACAAATTTCTGTTTCTAATATTATTAACCATTAATGCCCACTGACAACTTTATTGGCCATGATTTTTAGAATTTGTAGCACTCACAATTTAACAAATCGGACAGAAAATATGTGTGGAGGGGATTCAAATAAATACTCAACCATTTAAAACTAACATACATCAAATCTCTGCCCCGACTGCAGATAGAAAATATGATGATGAAGTCGAGAAGTTTTATGATCAGATCCATGACATCTTACAGAAACTTAATAAACACGAAATTTTATATATTATAGGCGATATCAATGCAAAAATAGTAAAAGGTCAACGAGGTCAGACTGTAGCTGTAGGTCCTTATGGTTTAGGACAACCTAACGATCGAGGACAGAGATTGTATGAACTTTGTAAAGAAAACGATATGATCATTGCAAACATCTGGTATAAGCGACAACTATACACTTGGAAAGCTCCATTTGATGATGGCAATTACCCTGAGTCTTCAAGAAATCAAATAGACTATATACTTGTAAATGAGCGTTTCCGAAATGCCGTCAAAAAAGTCACTACATATCCTAATGCAGATATTGGATCTGATCATCAACCACTCGTAGCAGATATTAAACTAAGGTTAAAATGAATTCAGCGACAAAAACCAAAAACCAATGAACTTAACTTTGACGATATAAACATAAAACATAACATTAAAAAAGAATTTAACAATAGAATAAAAAACATCGGAGAATAACTAGAAAATCCAGAAGAGGTATGGAGTGAATTTAAAAACCAAGTTAGCGAAATCTCCACAAACAATGATTATAGAAAAAACTTAATCAAGAAAAACTAAATGTATGACAGACGACATCTTGAAATTAATGGAACAACGTCGACTGATAAAATTTAATGTAACAGAATATAGACACCTGCAGAGAAGAATAAAAAAGGAGATCAAATTAGCAAAAGAAAAATGAATGAGAGAAAGGTGCAATGAAATGGAGGATGTAATATCTAAAATACGACATTTTTAATATGCACAAAAAACTAAAAGAAATGAGTAACGTATTTAAAAACGAATTCCATCTGTACTCGTTGACAATAATAACACAATTATTTTAAATGAGCATGAAATAAGAAAAGAATGGCAGCTGTATATATCAGAGTTGTTTGAAGATGACAGGACATAATATTGCCAAATTCTATAAAACTGTACTGACGGCCGAGAAATTATGAAACTGTGAGGTAGAACACACTATAAGTATTGCTAAAATTAGAAAAGCTTGTGGTCCAGATGATACACTAACTGATTTGTTGAAAATAATAAATAATGATAACATAAAAGTAGTAGTAAGACTTTTTAATTCAATATATAACACCGGAGTGATTCCCGCAGATTGGCTCAAATCCATCTTTATCGCAATACCTAAAAAACACAATGCGAGAAAATGCTCACATTATCGATTAATTATCACATTATATCATCACATTATACAAAATTTATACTGGAACCAATCAGCCACAATAAGAACGAATTTTGGAGGTGAACCAACGGAAATGATCCAGATTCTACGAGGCGTTAGACAAGGTTGTATACTTTCACCTATATTATTTAATCTATATTCAGAGGAAATATTTAGTGAAGCCTTGGAAAAATGCGAACATGGAATACTTCTAAATGGAGAACGCCTAAACAACATCCGTTATGCAGATGACACCGTTATTTTTGCAGACAGTTTGAACAGTTTACAGCAACTAATAAACAAAGTAAATGAAGTAAGTAAAAGATTTGGACTTCAAGTAAATATAACAAAAACTAAATTTATGATCATCAGCAAAAATAAAGTTAGAGACGCTCAACTACTTATCAATAATACACCAGTGGACCGAGTAAAACAGTATAACTATCTTGGAACAACAGTAAATGAACAATGGGATCACTCACAGGAAATAAAACGTAGAATAGAGAAGGCTAGGAGTGCATTCAATAACATGGCCAAACTCTTTAAAAGCCACAATCTTAATCTGGAGATAAAAGTGAGGCTCCTACGATGTTATATCTTCTCAATATTGTATTACGGAGTTGAATCCTGGACACTAACTGAAGCGATGGAGAAAAAACTTGAAGCCTTCGAGATGTGGCTATACAGGCGAATTCTAAGGATATCATGGACAGACAAGATAACCAACGAGACCGTATTACGGAGAGTGGGCAAAGAAAGAGAGGTGATGTATACCATTAAAAAGAGAAAGTTGGAATATCTCGGACATATAATGAGAAACAGCACTAAATACAGATTACTGAAGGTAATCCTACAGGGTAAAGTATTCGGAAAGCGAGTAATTGGGAGAATATCATGGTTGAAGAACCTGAGGAAATGGTTCTCCACAACAACAACAAATCTATTTAAAGCATCAGTCAATAAAATAATTATAGCCAGAATGATTGCCAATATTCGGAACGAGTAGGCACTGAAAGAAGAAGAAAAGATCGATTAATTAGCCTAATGAGCCACACTCTTAAAATTTTCCTCAGAATACTTTACAACAGAATTAGACGCAAATGCGAAGAAGATCTTGAAGATACCCAATTTGGTTTTAGAAATGTTATGGGAACCAGGTAGGCACTTTTTGCGCTCAACATCCTATTACAAAAATGCCGTGTCCAAAGAAAATATGTATTTGCATGTTTCGTGGACTTATAAAAGGCATTTGTTAAAGTACAGCATGTAAAATTAATGCAAATACTGAAAAATATCGAAATAGATGACAAAGATATTCGTGCCATTAAACATTTGTACTGGAATCAAACTGCTATCGTAAACATTGAAGATAAGTATACCGATGAAATCTCGATACAACGAGAAGACAGACAAGGTTGCATTTTGTCGCCAACATTGTTCAATGTTTACTCGGACCAGTTATTTAAAAAGGCCCTTGAGAGGCAACCAGATGGAATAAAAATCAACGGGAAACTACTTAATGTGATTAGATATGAAGACGATACAGTAATTCTATCAGATAATATTGAAGGTCTTCAAATTCTGCTTGATCGTATTTACGAAGTAAGAGAGGAAATGGGCATTAAAATAAACTCAAACAAAACCAAATTTTTAGTGTTTAGTCGTGACCCACATCCCTATGCAAAGCTTCAATTAAACGGAGTCCAAGTTAAGAAAGTTCACAAATTGACCTATTTGCGAACTGTGATAACGGACCAACTAGATCCAGACATAGAAATAAAGTCATTTCTTTGCAATAACTATCTGTTTAGAACTAAGGCAAAGAATGGTTAATTGCTATGTTTGTTCCGTACTTTTGTATAGTGCAGAAGTGTGGACGCTAAAAGTATCGATGATGAACAAAATTGAACCATTAGAAATGTGGGTTTATAGAAGAATGCCTTTGACAGCAAGCAAAACTAATAAAGAAGTACTAAGGAGCATCAACAAAGACAGAGAACTACTAAAGACTGTTAAACATCGAAAAATGTCTTATCTGGGACATATAGTAAGGGGAAGTCGATATAAAATATTACAACTGATCCTTAAAGGTAAAATAGAGGGCCGTAGAGGTATAGGAAGAAAACAAGTTCTTGGTTAAAAAACATTCGTGAATGGACTCAGATACCAAATGCAGGACAATTATTCCATATTACAGAGGATCGAGAAGCCTTAGCAATAGTGATTGCCAACGTCGGATAATTCTGATATGGCACGCGAAGAAGAAGAAGAAGGAGGGGATTCGTTTAGGTTTTGACCCTGATAGAAAGAAATAAGTCTTTTCGTTGTACCATGCGTTCTGACTAAACAATCATACCACAAGACTGCAGTAAATGCTTAGCACCTGATCAGTGAAGGTTATTAGAGTATGTTTCAACTATAGTGGCGAAAATTTCTAGGAACAGTAAAGCCTCACCAAACAAAGCAGTGGCGTTCCAAAAAATGCCTATGATTTAAATCAAATTGTTAAAGATAGGTACACACAATTTACACACAATGATATTAGATTATCTATTTTTGACAATACTGTACTACGTTACATATTATTATGGTATATCACTATATTGTCTAGCTGTGAAACCATAGATACGTATTACAAATTACAGTATTAATTAATATTAATTACAAAAATTGTTTTAATTTTAAAACCTAACAAAAGAGAACAGTAAGTTTGATTTTAATTATTTAACCACATGAAAATTGTTTCAAAGTTAGGTTATGTATAATTTATTTTGTTTATTACTGGTACCTATTAATTTTTATTTGATTGTATACCCATACGTCAGCAGTTCTGTATATATCAGTAAATTGTTAGTTTTTTTTAAACAAACACTAGAATTTTATTTTCTTTTCAGTCATAGAAAGCCCCACAAACCTTAGAGTAAATACATGCAAACATGCAGACACCGAATTAACCCTGGAACAGTCTGTAGAGCAATATGTACTTTTTGGTAAGTTATTTGAATGATACTTTTGATTTCATAGTTTATTAGTTTTTTAGTTATAATTTATAGTTTATTTTTATTTATATAGGTGAAATACAATTGGAATGTGTTACTGCGAAATCTGAAGCTGGACCTAGTGCGTCAAATGTAAATGATGAATTGGAGTCCGATTTTGAACCTTACTCCCCAATCAGTTCAGAATATAATCCAAGTTCATCAAGTGAATCTTCTGATAGTGATACTGACCTCATAAACACAACATCAACAACATCTATCCAATTAGATGGTATGGAAGAAATGCCAGCAAAAATAGAGAGATCGAGAAAAATAATGCGTAATCCACGAGCATGGAAAAGAAGTGTTGATAAGCTAAAAAAGCAACAAGGCGAAATGTATATTTCTGGTACGGGTAAACATATACCAGGAGTTGCAATGAAATATCCATGTCCAATTATTTGCTGTAGACGAAAATGTACTGAAAATATCTCGTACTAGGAGAGGCTGATGGTTTTTAGGAGATACTATGGATTCGATTCGTATGAAAGAAAAAGGGATGTTATTCACGGCTATACCGAGAAGACAACAAAAAAATGGCACACTAAGGAAAACTCAAGACGTAATAATACGATAACGTTTTTCTTACCACAAAATACTAAAAGGATTCAGGTGTGTCAATGTTTGTTAACACACTTATAATTACAAAAAAGGTCATAAATATTGCAGCATAAAACGAACGAAAATACAAGTTTAGAGGACAAAAGAGGTAAGCATGTAAAGAAGGTCACACGACCCGAAACATTAGAAATTGTAAGATGTCACATTGAGAAGTTCCCAGAGATGTCTTCGCATTACTACCCTGCGAAAACACAGCGAAAATGTTTATCTTCTGATTTACATAACTCTGATGTACTCGATATATAAAAAAGAATGCGCTGAGAAAAGTCAAGAAGTGGCTAGTGTTTCTATTTATAGGAAAGTCTTGACTGAAGAATACAACTTTGTGTTTTACCGTCCAAGAAAAGATCAGTGCCGCATTTGTATGGCTATAATACCCCTACAAATGACAAGACCGCCCTGGAAACTCAATATCAAGCACATTTAGTGGGAAAAGAGAGAGCTAGAGATGAAAAAAGATCACAAAAACAGATGACAGAAAACTCTAATGGAAAAATTGTGAGTTGTAATTTTGACCTTCAGCAAGTTCTTCTTATACCCAGTAATCCTACCAATAACGCATTATTTTATAAACAACGTCTGAATACATTCAATTTTACTATTTATGATGCTGTTTCGAAAACTCATGCAGAGCGGAATATGATTTTCAAAAAGATTCACTCCAGCACTTCCAAACGATTATAGACATTACTACGAAAACCTCCCTTTTGTGGGGGATACACGCGGAAAACCTAACGCAGATTCTGAAAGTGAAATATGCAATAGTGAGTAACTTGTATTTTCTATAATTATTATATTAATATGTTTACATATGTATCTTGTACTACTTTGAACCAATAAAAACTTATTTTTATTCTTATACAATAATATGTATTAACGTATATGTCGATTTTTGTCTATTTGTCTTAGTGCTATAAGTGGATATCTCGCATTTTATTAAATTTGTTTAAAAAATTAAAATATTTTTGTGGTTACCAATAAAAAGATTTTAGCTCATTTGATATACTATCATTTTAGAACCAAAAGCACAAGTTCTGCCATAATTTTGTGTTTTTTTTTTCTGCTCAAAATTTTACATTGATATCCCGAGAAACGACTATTTTTAAGTTACCTAGTTAAAGTATTCAGTGGACGATATATTAGACATAATACCGTGAAAACCGTAATATATTTAAGCGAATTATAAATATTGTAATAATTTCAACCCACAAATCCAATCTAAGTTCATTACTGCAGATCATTACCACACCTTATTGAATTAAGGTCTTCGTTAACATTAGCTTCGTTAAACAACCCATTAAAATATATCAAAATAGTCCAATGAACGACTATAATATCGTATGATTTTGACATAAACATCGTTAGTAGTGTAACATAATCTAACCACTAATCAAGCTAATGTAGACGATCAGTAACGGCGAAATTCACTAAATTAGCGAACGTTAATAATTGTAACAGTACAATGGTGCTATGGATAACACTCCATCTAAAACTACTGGTAATCGCGTTTAGAACTAGTTGACTAGACATATTCGCGTTTACGTGTCCTGTGCAAAGCTTCATAATAAATATCTAATTGATTATTCGGTTTTGGGTGTAATAGCTTGGCAACTTGATAAATATTTGACCAAATGTCGCACTAATTTGCTTTGTCAGTTTTGTTAATCGTGTAAAATTCAGAGTTCTAAAAGCGGACCAAACGCTAGCAAAATAATATACCTCTATAATAATGAATTGTATAATATTATTCAAGTTGAATCTATTTTTACTCCTTAAAGGTAAAAAACAATTAGCAATTGTCGACATATCTGTCTATTACTAAATTACAAATGTTTTAACTTATACAATTTTATAAATTTGAGGAAACTCTGGTTAGCACGTGATGATGGCACGTTGTTATGACAAAGGAATTTATTTTAGATAGTTTTTTCACAGTAACATGTTGTTAAGGTACTGTTGCTGAGGCTACAGTTAAGGGCTATAGCTGCTGAAGAGACGCAGATCGTTAAAACTGTACTCGAACCTGCGACTAAGTTGATACAAAGCCGCCGCCCCGCAAAACTTCCTCCTTTTTCTAATCAAATTTGCATACGTACATGCCTCCCTAGCACTCCTCATGTATGAACCGATCCACTAGCCTTTTGAGGACCTTTATAAACCTGGTTAAGAGATTGTTTGGCCAAAAGGAATCAAGAGAATTATATGCCCTAAATATCCTCGTCAGTGATGGGGCGATTAGATCCCAATCATGTTGTACCATAGTTGGTACAATGGCATTTTCATTAGCGACTAGCGAGCTAACCCTTTAATAGCGGGAACCTAGATATAATACCAACACTGCACTCTGGGAAGAAAGCTAGCCGGAGAATCCACTTCCGGAGTCAGATATTTAGTTACTCTAAGAATATCTAACACGGGACACTTGCATGTAGTTTTAATAGACAAAGATAGCAGCCTCCTTCAATATCTGGTAACAGCTAGCGTAATATGTAGAGGTCTGGGCTATGTATCAAATATGTACAGAAATATCTATGTCATTAACCCTACCTGATAATAATGAAAACCCACGATGTTGTAATTAAGTTCCCATCGAAAGATATCCCAGTACATGACTTGTGAATTTCTATATAAGTTTTTATGGGGACTGAAAGTCTCGAGATTACGCGATGATAAAAAAATTTCTTATGTATAGATAATCGCTTCTCGGACAGGGCTTACTAAAGCTCCAATCCAACTAATGATCGAGACCATAAAGTTAAGTCGATAACCTGACGTCTTCTTGAGGTCACAAACGTAAGTACTGACTGCCGGCTTAAAGTTTTTAGATCAATTCCCAAAAGATAATGTAACATAGCTGCACTCCCGAGATTATCTTGTTTCATCCATTGTTTTATTCCATCACACAATGTAATGAGAGAGCTTTTGCCTCATTAGGAACCGAATCGTAGTACCTAATTGATACAATTAACTTAGCTGTTAAAGACGGCTTAAGGTCAAGTCTTAAGGAAAGTAGGCAGAGGAAATCAACATCTTACTGTTTATAAGATTAGAGACTCACAGAGACTCTCGATTAGAGCTGTTTCTACTAAAAATTCAGACACTGTTTTCAGGAATAAATGTTAAACTGAGTTAATTTGCTACAGATTGGTTTGGAAAATCTAAACTATTGTGAGTGAGACCTTTAACCAGTGGAAGAGAGAAAGATAGAGAGAGAGAGAGAGAGAGAGAGAGAGAGAGAGGGAGAAAGAGAGAAAGAGTGGGGGTTACTGTCATCTGCACCCACTTTTACTTTTCCTCCAGAGCAACAACTGTTAAGAAGGATCAGCCTAACCTGGATAGAATCTAGTTAACCTCTTCAATCTCAAGGAGCAAGACCATGGTCCATAATTTCAGCAACAGCCCCCTCACCCTTCATCATATCGGTGGATAGAACGAACTTACTAGCCCGTCACTAGTGCTTTGGAACATAGAGGCGCTGAAAAGTTAAATAGACAAACGTCTTTTATGAAAAGCATTCTAGCCTCAGCACAAA